TACAAACAGGTAAAACAACAGTTACATAATAAGTAAAACATTAAAATTAGATTAAAACCATTTAAAATAGTGTAAATTGAATTAGTTGGCCATGTTTATGTCCTAGTTCTATGATCAACAACTTAATCCGAAGCCTGTCCATAGTCCATTTTCCATAGCATTGTCGTCATTTTATTGTCACCCTGCTATCCGAATGCCTATCCGAAATGACTGTTCCCATAGCCACGTTTTCAACTTTTTCCTGAAGGAAAGGAGGGAAGCCATTGACCTAATTTTGCTGGGGAGCAAGTTCCACAGGCGGGGGGCCATTGCCGAGAAGGCCCTGTCTCTTGTCCCCACCAAGTGCATTTGCGAGAAAGGTAGGATCGAGAGCAGGGCCTCCCCGGAAGATTGTAAGTTTCGAGGTGTGATGTAGGGCGAGATACATTCGGACAAGTAAGCTGGGCCAGAACCGAACAGGGCTTTATAGGTCAAGACCACTTTGTATTTAGCCCGGAAGCAGACCAGCAGCCAGGGGAGTTGCCATAACATGGGAGTGGTTCTCTACCTGTGTCGTGCTCCAATTAGTAACCTGGCTGCTGATCTCTGAACTAGTTGCAGCTTCCGAACTATCTTCAAAGGTAGTCCAGATGGGAAGTAACCGCTGACTACCATGGCCAGATCTGGCATCTCAAGGGATGAGCGCAGCTGGCGCGCAAGTGCCATGTGCCATGTCATTGTTACCTATTTTGATTCCCTATGGGGGAAAAGGTATGATAAAAATAAACTGAACAAGTAGTACACAAAATAGAAATATCTACTTGCATCTCAACTTGTTCAAGTGGTGTCAATGTGCAATAACAGCAGTATGTAGATGTCCCTTAGAAATCCTTTAAACCATCATAAGTGAAAACAGATCAAACAAATTAAAGAAAAAGATCTCCAAGTATGGGAAAGAAAAATATCTTTCTTCCATTTTCAGAGCAATGTTTCCATTGGATATTGCTCTGAATAACTACTACTGCACTCATTAGCCAAACCCAAGCCGACCTGGTATTTCTCCAGAAGAGATTTAATAAGGAGAATAAGGTCAGAATCTATTCTTTTTGCTCCGGCGCTAAGAATGCCATTTCAAAAATTAAAGGTCTGCACACCCGCTGTGTCTAATTGAGAGGCTAATAAGGCTCAGACCTCCAGGGGCTTGGAAGAGCCTTCAGGCTTGCTCAGCGTGCATAAAAATCAATACGCCACCATGCAAAATAAATGCCTTTTTGCCCAGGCAGCACATCTAGTCCCATTTTCTGAATAAGCTAATCAATTGGTCAGAGGCGAAAGTCTAAAAAGATGCAATATCACCACGATCGCAGGAGAATGTGTTCCATCTAAACATCAGTCCACTACTTTAACAAAGAGGTTTTCAGTTAGAGGATTCTAAGTTTTCTTTTGTGAAATAGACAAGTTTCTAAATTACTATGAAATTTATGGGCTGCAACTTAAAATTCGAAACCAGAGAATGGCTGTGTAAAATCTGCAAGTACTCAAAAGGTGACACTACTAGTAGAATAACAAGCTACACATTAAAAATGGGAGAGTTGCTTAGAATATAAGTATCTTGGCATACATTTATGTAAGTTGCTGAATTCAGCTTTTTTACTAACATAATTTGGGTTATGGTGATATAGCATCTGATATATTGAAAGCATAGGCTCTAAAGAATGGCTATGGTGTTATTCAGGATACTAAAACCAAGCTATACCGATCTGGAGTCAGTATTTTCCATTCAATTGTCCAGATAAGCTAAAGAGGTCAACATTAAAAAAAACCTTTTGAATTATAAATTCCAAAAGTCTACATATTGGGATATTCTGAAAGTTGTAATAAGAAATAATAATAATAATAATAATAATAATAATCTATATGAATAAAAATGTAATGTTCATTTGTGGGATTAACAGAACTCAAAAACCACTAGACGAATTGACACCAAATTTGGACATAAGACACCTAACAACCCAATGTATGTCCTTCATTCAAAAAAAAATATTTTGTCATTTGGGAGTTGTAGTTGCTGGGATTTATAGTTCGTCTACAATCAAAGGGCATTATGAACCCCACCAACGATGGGATTGAACCAAACTTGGCACACAGTTCTCCCATGACCAACAGAAAATACTGTCCTTTGGTTTTGGAGTTGTAGTTCACCTGCATCCAGAGATCACTGTGGACTCAAACAATGATGGATCTGGACCAAACTTTACACGAATACTCAATATGCCCAATTGTGAACACTGGTGGAGTTTGGGGAAAATAACATCTTGACATTTGGGAGTTGTAGTTGCTGGGATTAATAGTTCACCTACAATCACAGAGCATTCTGAACTCCACCAATGATAGAATTGAGCCAAACCTCCCACACAAAACCCCCATGTGGGCCACAGCAACATGTGGCAGGGGACGGCTAGTAATAATAATAATTTATTTGTACCCTGCCACCATCTCCCCAAAGAGCTTCGGGGTAGCTCACAGAAGCACTTCAAGTGCTGCACAAAAACAACAATATGTAAGTATATTAAACAACAACGTAAGTCTAGAAAACAACACACACAAAACCCCATCTAATAAAATTATAAAAATTATCATAAAATGCAGTACTTTCACAGATATATAAACCCAATTTTCCTAGTTTCCAGCAGACCTCACAACCTCTGAGGATGCCTGCCATAGATGCAGGCAAAACGTCAGGAGATAATGCTTCTTGAACATGGCCATACAGCCTGAAAAACATACAACAACCTGGTGATTCCAGCCATGAAAGCCTTTGACAATACATTAAACGCAGTAAAATCTGTGAATAAGACTGGCTGTCTACAATTGACAATTTATAATACTGGGTAGAAGCAATCGCTAAGTCCTCAAATCTAACCATAAATTACACAAGGTCAAAGGCCTGTCTAAAAAGCCATGTTTTTAAAGTAACCAAAAGGCTTGGAGAGTGAGGGATAACCTAATCTCTCTAGAGCTGGGGTGCCACCACCGAGAAGGCCTTCTCTCTCATGCTTGTGATGGTGGTAGGACCAAGAAAAGGGCATCCTCGGCAGATCTCAAAGCCCACATCGGTTCATAGAAGGAGATGCAATCTCAAAGACAGGTTGGACTCAAAGCATATAGGGCTTTATAGGTTATGATCTGCACTTTGAATTGGGTCCGGAAACTTTTCAAAGCTCTGTTACACACACACACATCAATATAATCTAATGGTGTGAATTACAGAGAGAGGTCAACCCTCCTGTTTAAGGCGCTCCACTGGCTGCCGTTTATTTTTCGGGCCCAATTCAAGGTGCAGGTTTTGACCTACAAAGCCCTGAACGGTTTGGGACCTGCCTACCTGTGCGACCGCATTTCTATCTCCGAACCCACACGACCTCTTCAATCTTCCGGAGAGGCCCTTCTCTCACTCCCGCCTGCATCACAAGTGCGACTTGTGGGGACGAGAGAGAGGGCCTTCTCTGTGGTAGCCCCCCGGCTCTGGAACTCACTCCCCAGAGACATAAGGCAAGCCCCCATGCTGGCAATCTTCAGGAGGAACCTGAAAGCCTGGTTATTCCAATGTGCCTTCAGTGATTGAATGTAAGATACTCCCTGACCGAACTTTGTATAAAATGACCTCAGAAGCACTTTATTTTATGGTTCGTACAATTAAATCCTTCCATATCCCGGATCCTCCTCTCGATAATTTATATTGCCCTAACTCCCAGCGTTTCTAAAAAATTGAGTACGGCCCTGCCCAGCCTAATCCTTTGTGTTTTAATGTTTGATTTGCTTTTGCTGTTCGTTCATTATATTGATTTTGCATTTTATGTATTTTATTTCTGGTTTTGTTATGCTTTTGTGTTATATTGTGTTACTGTATTTCTGGGCATGGCCTCATGTAAGCCGCACTGAGTCCCCCTGGGGGAGATGGAGCGGGGTATAAATAAAGTATTATTATTATTATTATTATTATTATTATTATTATGCCATTACTGTCTTTCCAACAAGAAAAAAGAAAGGAAGTCAGATCACCTAAGACAATCTGACTTCCGTGGGAAAAAGCAGATCTAAACAAAATTATTACCATGGGGCCAAGAAGAAGAAGAAGAGAAAATCAAACAAATGATGACTCTTAAGGTGTGTTACTACATAACAGAGGTCACCATTATAAAACTACAGTAAATCCAAGACGCCTTGTAACAGAAGAAAGCTCATTAAAATCCTTAACCTGAAAAGGGAATTACTTCATAAACTTCAAAGCTTAAGGTATAAGTTGACTTCAAAGCCAAAACCTCCCCATTCTAATGGAGTTAGCAAATTTCCAGCAATGAAAAGCATTAAAATGTTCCTCACATTAGGAAACTATTTTAAGAAATGTTAATTTTACTGTTAATTTGTTAGCTGTTTCCAAGCAAGTGAAAACAATCTTTTTAAAGAATCTTTGGGGGTGTGGTGAGAGAGAGAAAAAGAAGAAAGTCATTTGTGTCTTTAAAGAACTAGAAGCATTCTTTGCTAATCTTTTCATTCCAGCTTGATTTGGTTATACTATCAATTTGGGGCAAGGAGGTGGGGAATATATTGAAAGTACCTAAAAAGGAGGAGGAAGAGGGAGAGATATATAATTACCGACAGGTCCTTTACCGGCAAACACAGCCACAGTTTAAAGAAGTTTGAAAAATTCATTAAGTGTAGCAAAATAGACTTAATTCTGTCCTGTATTGTCAGCCTTGCTAAACTCAGCAAAACACATTGGGAACTGTTTCATCTTCCTTAAAGTAAGATTTCAGCAAGTTTCAGGAAGACAGTGGCATAACAAAATGGTATGCCAAACAACTCAAAACAGGAGCTGGAATAATAATAATAATAATAATAATAATAATAATAATAATAATAATAATATAAACTTTATTTGTACTCCGCTACCATCTCCCCAAGTTTCTTTATTCTGGGAAGGCACGCTGGACCAACCAAGTTTTCAGGTTCCTCCTAAAGACTGCCAAAGTTGGGGCATGTCTAATGTCCCTGGGAAATGAATTCCAGAGTCGAGGGGCCACCACCGAGAAGGCCTTCTCCCTTGTCCCCACCAATCACGCCTGCGAAGGAGGTGGGAGCGTGAGCAGGGCCTCTTCAGTTGATCGAAGAGAAAAAGTCTGGGAATCTGTTGTGGGAAAGTACAGCAAGATATGCCTACATACTCAGTGCATAGCAAAATCAAGGTTTGCTTTTTTCTGAATATTATCAAGCTGTGTTTGTTTGGATCCATACCTGCAGATTGCATGGATAAGGAGGGACGACTGTATTAACTTTTTCCTTTTTTTCGTACTACAGAATTCAAAAGTGCTCTCCAAATAACACAAAACAACAAATCCATTTATGGATAGTGATCCTTGATACCCAAGGATTTTTCAGAGCTCAAGCTCACACTATAATTTTCCACAAATGACAGAGGTTTTCCATTCTCCACGTGAAGTGATGACGCAAAGGACATTCCCCTTGCTCACCTGGCCAGCACATGAATCATCACTGAACAGGGCTTATGATTCAGCATCCAGTCACCTACTCAGCAGGTATTTTCCCTCTAGTTAGCAAAGAGATAGTTATGTCATGCCAGATTTGTCCATGTTAATTGTGTCTAGTGGTTGAAAAATTAGTCTTGATCGCTTGCCATTACTCCTACTGCTATGAATACATTTCATTGTGTACTTTTTTGTATGTAGAGCTTATTAGAACCCGCTGTGGACTGTCAAGAACCGTGCTTCACTTACCACCGATCCTGCGGCAGGTTCAATGTGATGCTGCCTTTGATTTCATTCCCAAAGCGAATATAGCCAAGTGTGGCCAGAGATATGTACAAGGTCATCACAATTCCCATGCCGATGTTGAGTGCCAATGGGAAACGTTCAGTATCTTTCATCCTGTTCTGGAGTGGAAGTACCTAAGAAAAGACAAGACACAGAGAGACAGATATGCACAAATTAATTAAATTTTATTTATTTATTTATTTATACTCCACCCTTTTCACCCCAAAGGGGCCTCAGCGTGGCTTACAGAACACACATATGGCAAACATTCAATGCTGATTATACAATTAACAAGGACAGACAACACAAACAGAGGCAAGGCAGTTTTCCCATCTTATTTCTGGCATCTTGGTGGCTGCGCTCCACAATGATCAAGGAGGGGGAGGTGTGCTATTGCTCCATCTTCCATGCCGAAGAGTTTTCCTCTGATTAATGTCCTTACAGGTGCCTTTATTACCTCCCCGCTAAAAGCAGTACCTATTTTATCTACTAAGAGAAACCTTAATTTGGACGCATTTTGCTTCATCCTACAAGTTTTGAGAGTAACTTATGCTTTCATCCCTAAATGATCCAAAGTGGGAGTTAGACAGGATGGGATACAAAACCCTTTCCAGCTCTGTGATATTATTCTGAATAATTACTGAGAAGCATCACTATCACAGATGATGGCAAACTAACTCACAACAATATGGAGAATGGTGCAGAATGCTTGAGAGTTGAGTTCAACAAAATTGAGAAGGACACCTTTAAGCATCTGGACAACTTCCTAAGACCTCCACCAAAGGAAGCCCACCATGATCCAAGGTAGAAAACCTTGGGGCTGAATCTATTTCTTCTGAAGTTTATGACCCTCTTGGATTCTCTAGTTATATCCCTTTTCCATGACGCTAGTATTTATTTATTTCATACACTTCTTCCCCGCCCTTCTCCCCCCGAGGGGGGACTCAGGGCAACCTCACACAAGCACCATACGATGCTATCACCATATAGAACAGTCAGCAATACATTAAAACAATTCATTCAAACAATAGATTAAACACGCCAGTTAAAAAAATCCAAGTCTGGGTTAAATCAATGTCACAAATATCCTAAGTCTTCTTTCCAGTTGCCACTGTCCACTAAACGAACACCTGGTCCCAAAGCCCAAAGTCTTCAATTTTCTTCTAAAGGACAGAAGGGAGATGGCCAGCCTAATGTCCCTGGGGAGAGAGTTCCACAGACGGGGGGCCACTACCAAGAAGACCCTGTCTCTCGTCCCCACCAATCGTGTTTGCGATGGTGGTGGGATCAAGAGCAACGCCTCTCCTGAAGATCTTAAACTTTGTGATAGTTCATAACAGGAGATACATTCAGACAGGTAGTCTGGGCCAGAACCGTTTTTATTTAATGATTTCCCAAGTCCCTTTCTGAACACATCAAAATGCCTGTCCTGATGTTTACGTATCATTTAAGCATCAAGAGCTTTAAGAGAGAATATGCTGGTATCTTTAATCCCAATGCACCATAATGTAGCAGTCTGAGTATTGTGATAGGACTCTAGGAGACCAAGATTCAACTCCCTGCTCAGCCACGGGAACCCGCAAACTGGCCTTGGGCAACCCACACTCTCAAGACTTAGAGCAAAGCACGGCAAACCTCCTTAGAACAAATCCTGCCAAGAAAAACCATGATAGGATCATCTTAAATCGGAGTCAAACTGAAGATGCAGGACAATTTTTAGTCCCAATTTCCTTTAAAATTCCATATCCCAAAAATCATTCTAAAATTGCACACAGCTCTCAGTATGCAAGATGCTGCACACTTTTGCCTAAGTAATCATAGAATCATAGAATCAAAGAGTTGGAAGAGACCTCATGGGCCATCCAGTCCAACCCCCTGCCAAGAAGCAGGAATATTACATTCAAATCACCCCTGACAGATGGCCATCCAGCCTCTGTTTAAAAGCTTCCAAAGAAGGAGCCTCCACCACACTCTGGGGCAGAGAGTTCCACTGCTGAATGGCTCTCACAGTCAGGAAGTTCTTCCTCATGTTCAGATGGAATCTCCTCTCTTGTAGTTTGAAGCCATTGTTCCGCGTCCTAGTCTCCAGGGAAGCAGAAAACAAGCTTGCTCCCTCCTCCCTGTGGCTTCCTCTCACATATTTATACATGGCTATCATCTGGTTGTACTAAAACTTTACTAAAGATGAGTAAACTTGAAGGACTGCTCACCAAACTGAAGCTCAGTACCTGTCAACTAGATCAAGGGTGTGAAAGTAAGATTTAAAGAATCCTAAATTCTTCTGTACTTGAACTGAATGGCACTCACAGTCCCTTGGAATACAAAAATCCACCCCTGTTTACCCCATGCTGTCTTCACTTCAGCTGTGTAATTTCTAAAGGAGGTGGGTGGGAAGAGTCATTTTGTTGATGCTTTTATTAAACAGTTGGGAGTCAGAAGTCCTTACAGATCTATTATGAATCACGCAGAGAGCTGTCATTAGATGGAGAACTACCTTCCACTTGGTCTTGCATTAGGTCTAGTTCCTAATTTCCAGAAGCATTAGAAAACAAAGTTTTATCTCAGTATTTGTAATAACTCATAATCTTCTCCAGGTTAATTATACCAAATCCCTTTGGCTTTTCCACCTAGTACTTGTTTTTGAGATCCTCCCACCCTTTACTTACATCTGATAAGCCCATTCCAATGTGTCTATATTATTCCTAAAATGGAGTGGTATCTTCAAATTGGGCAGAATTGTAACCCTAGCCAATTCAAATAGTTAGAAAAAGGAGGAGAAAAGCCAACAGAAACTCTCCATGAACTAGAATGGCTTCTCTCTGGTGAAATCTTACAGCAGTATTTCTCAACCTGGGGGTCGTGACTCCTGAGGGATCTTGTGGGGGGTGTTAAAAGGGGTCACCAAAGACCATCGGAAAACACAGTATTGTGGAAAGTTTGGTCCAACTCTGTTGTTGGTGAAGTTCAGATGCTCTTTGATTGTAGGTGAACAATAAAATCCCAGCAACTACAACTCCCAATGTCAAGATCTATTTTCCCCAAACTCCACCAATGTTCACATTTGGGCATATTGAATTTTGGTCCAGAACCATCATTGCTTGAGTCCACAGTGCTCTCTGGATGTAGGTGAACTACAACTCAAAAACTCAAGGCCCACCAAACCCTTCCAGTATTTTCTGTTGATCATGGTGTTCTGTGTGCCAAGTTTGGTTCAATTCCATGGTTGGTGGAGCTCAGAATTCTTTTTGATTGTAGGTGAACTATAAATCCCATCAACTACAACTCCCAAATGACAAAATCAATCCCCCAACCCCAACCCCACCAGCATTCAAATCAGGTATTTGTGGCAATTTGGTCCTGTGATTGAAAATATTGTTTTTGCTTAACTGTTTATTTGCTAGGTACTGTATTGTTGTATTGTTGTATTTGTGGGCTCCGGCCCGTTGTAAGCCGCATTGAATCCCTTGGGAGATGCTAGTGGGGTACAAATAAAGTTATAATAATATAATAATAATAATAAAATACATCCTGCATACCAGATGTTTACATTGTGATTCAGAACAATAGCAAAATTACAGTTGTGAAGTAGCAACTAAAATAATTTTATGGTTGGGGGTTAACCACAACATGAGGAATGGTATTAAGGGGTTACGGCTTTAGGAAGGTTGAGAAACACTATCTTAAAGCATTTAAGGCTTTCTAGTTCTGGGTGCAGTCAGTTGAGCATTTAACTATGACCTTGTTAAGACCAGGGCTCAAACCCTGGTAATACAACATAATACTAAAAATAATATGATATAATAATTGTATATTATATATTACATGTAATATTACTAATAATATTGCAGTATAGCGGTACAGTACAATATAGTAATATATAAAACTAATATTTCTTTATTATTTATTTGGAACATTTGTACCCTGTCCTTTCTCGACCTCCGAAGAGGGACTCAGGGCAGCTACCAACAGGCAACAATTGGATGCCAAAACAATAAAACACATAATAAAAAACAATCCATACATAAAAATCAATATAAATATAAATTTAAAACAGTTCTCCAAGTAAAAATGTCATCCAAATCCATCCAAAGTTGTAGTCTTGTAAAATCTCATCACTGCCAGTAAAAACAGACTAATCTGTAAACGCTTGGTCCCACAGCCTGGGTTTAAGCTTCCCAGCAAATTTCAGTAGGTCAAGAGGGAAGGGGCCGATCTAACCTCCTTAGGGAGGGAGTTCCACAGCCGATGGGCTACCACGGAGAAGGCCCTGTCTCTCGTCCCCACCAAATGCGACTGTGATGGTGTTGGGATTGAGAGCAGAGCCTCCCCGGATTATCTTAGAGTTCTTGATGGTTCATAATATTGTTCTATGCTAAATATTATAATATATTGTATGTACATATAATATTGATCATAATATTGTACTACATTATAATAATACTAATAATAATACAATATAATAATATAATAATTTTATATTTGATATTACATGTAATATTACTAATAATATTGCAATATAGTGGTATAGTACAATATAGTAATATATAATACTAATATTGTGCTATGCTAATAATATAATGTATTGTATGCACATATAACTTGTAAGCCGCTCTGAGTCCCCTTCAGGGTGAGAAGGCCGGGAGACTGTTGTAAATAAATAAATAATCAATAAACCCCACTCAGCCATAGAAATCACTGAGTGACCCTAGACAAGTCATACCCTTTTAGCCCCAGAGACAAGTAAAGGCAAACTTCCTATGGACAAATCTCACCCAGAAAGCCCTGTGATAGGTTTAGATTATAGTTACCATAAGTAAAATAATAATAATAACTTGAAGCACACAATGACAAACACAATTTGAGAGGGAGGAGAGAAAAGGATAGGGAAGCACTGGTGCATGTAATTACAGATCATGGAGAGAAAGAACATAGGGAGAAACCATAGCGTACTATAACTGCAGATCTTTCACTGAACCAGAATGGTGAGATATTTGGTCATTATCTGTACTGCATATAACTAAATTGGGAAGTTCGCTGCCATGAGGTGTATTGATGGATACCAACATGGACAGCATTAAGGAGAAATTGGACAAATGCATGAGGAAGGGGCTGTCAGTAGTTCTTAGTCAGGATG